AACACTTGCTACAGACAACTTTCCAAACTAGTTCATACTGTGTAAGTTAGACAGTGAAAGCAGATTCCCAAACCATTCCATATATTTTCGCACAGCTAGCGCTTATCAAGCCATGCATCTGAAATGTTGTTGTTCCATGAGCCGAGTATATCTAGTTTTGTATTTATAGTTCACCACCAGTTTTCAACTGGTCCTCTGAAATCTTATTTAGTACCCTCCTTCTGTAATTAAAAATAAAAATTGCGTTGACCAGAGGCACGCCTGTCCAGCACTCTAAACACCCTTTAGAGGCTCACTAAATTAGGTAGAACAGATCTGCAAAGTGGTTAATAGAAACAGGAAGGACTGTTGCCCTATTGTTTTCCACTGTGCCAAGTGTAATGCCAAGTGTAATGAAACAAGGCTACTGATATCTCAAATTTTCTCTGTCCAAGCAACAGTATGCATTGAGTCCTACTTTACTTTGAAGCTCACACTACTGTAGACATTGTAGAACTGACATTAAAAAAAAATCCACAGGTCACCATAAAGCATAAGGCATAACTAGCAGTCTACTTCCTTTGCTGGCTATTATTTTGTTTTCTGTAAATATTGTTCTGCCTCCATGAAGAAAGCCAGTGAATAAGTGACATCGCAGAATTAATCCATGAACACAGAACTCAGAGTGACCTAGCAAAGCGCCGGTTCCCTCAATTCCAGACACAACCTTTCCCCATTGGCATCAGATGACCTCCGCACAATATGACACCTGAGCTAACTTATAAGACTAAGGTCGTAATTTCACAATAGTTTACACCGATCTAAATCGGGGCTGCCACAAGCCCACCTTCGCTGCTGCCTCCAGCCATGCATTCCCAAGCATTGGTGCTAGCACTCACTGACCCCTCAGTGAAACAGCTCAGAGGTGTAAGCTGGCAAAAAAACCTTACCTTACCAAAAAAGTGAATTGTCTTCTGTCAGTTTAGGGCTCTGTGATCACTGTGGGGTCAGACTAAAAACACTGAGATGCGTTTTGTCACTATGTCTTAGCTGATGAGGCGACAGCATCTTAAACCACTCTATCAAGATCGTACAGTCTTTAGGATGTGGCTAAAAATCAGAGCTGCTGCAGCCCCGCTGTCCTCTCTCCCACCACAGCCACAGGGTTCCTATCTCCTCCTCTGCGGTTCCACTGATGCTCAGGCAACTACACAGTGATCCAGTCAAAAACTGACCCAGAAATAAAAAGAGCGATTATTTCTCAGCTGGCACAGTTCCCTGAATCAACTCTGCTGGCCGGTCACAGGAGCGACAGCAGAGGAGGTAAGCTGGCGCAGACACACGGGACCACGGCAGCCACCCCGATTTGAAGCGGCTCAAGCGGTCATGGAACTTCACTGGGGGGAGGCAACAAGGACAAATTAGCAGAAACCACTGCTTTAAAGGCATGGCAACCCTGGCTGAGCTATTTGACCTCACGCCCCAAACAACCACACGTGACACCAGGCAAAGAAGACCTTATTAAAGCAGAGCAAAGTAACAGCAAAAACCCCAATGCCTATCTGAAATGACTTTCATGTTGGTGACAATAAAAGAAATTAAATTCACCTATGTTTTCTGCTCCTCACTCTATCAATGCAATCCAATGTGAACATTTACAAAATTACTCATTAAAGGCAGAATAAAGTGTTAGTCTTCACAGACACACAGAGCCTACTGCTGACATAAACTCCTTTACTGCAACAACAAATTTGCAGATCAATCATTTGGAAGCTTTTTCTGTAAGGTCGCTCTATGTTTCCCACAATAGCAGAAATGTGTATTTTACCATTATCCCCTAAATCTCCATAAATATGTTCTGTTCTCCAGACATTTTCATTCAGGCTTCTCTCCCTTCTTTTCCTTTCCCCTAATAGGGAACAGTTTCTGTTTATGACTTCCTTTCTTTCACAGAGTTCCAAACACCCATGTTTTCTCAAAAGCTTGAGATTTCCTTCTAATTGTGACCCCAACAAAAGTGCTCAGAGCACTATTCTATGCAATGTTTCATTGGAGTTCTCAGTGACTCCACATGGTCAAAGACCTCCAGGTCAAACCCTCCAGATACCAGAGCATTTAGGGTGAAGGAAAGCAAGCATTGTATAGAACCTGACAGCCCATTAGAAGTGGCTAATAAAGCCATATTTTGTTTGTAGCCATTTGTTACCAACCCACATTACAAATTTGTCTGCTTTGAACTTTATGGGAACATTCATGCCAGGACTTTTATATACAACGTGTGAAGGAAATGGAACAACTATTGAGCTGTTTAGCTGTGCTCACTGTGACACAAACCTGCTGAAAAACAGTCTCCAAAAGGATGACACAAGTCAGCGTTCAGAGCTGCAGAAAGTGGTTAGCTCCTCTTCAAATCCATCAAAGGAAAACTACTTTTTTTTAAAGCCACATCAGAGAACACCATTCGCCATTGTTACTGATCTCTTTTGTTGTTTTCAGACATTTGTATGAGTTTGCTATGTAGGTGCTGTGATTTCACACAACGCCATTAAGAAACAAAAATATAGCAGGCAGATTTCCAAAACCCAAAACACAACCAAAATTCATTAAAAGTGCAACATCCCTGCTATCACTTCAAACTGCAATACACAATGAAAAGCTACTGACTACCCCCAAGAATGGGATTATAAAGTAACTTGAAAGCAACCTTAAGAAGCTTATATTTAGTATCCCAAAACGACACTATCATGAGGGATACTAAACGAGGGATAGAGATCACAGGTTTTCATAAGTAGCTCAAAACTAAATACAGGACTCTGTTGTTCAAGGAAGAAAAAAAATTTCATATGTTCAAGCCATGCTTACACCATATAGAGTTATATGAAAGCATTTACCACGCTCCCCATACTTTGAATGTATGGGCTGTTCCTAATTTCCAAGACATTTTCCTTGGATTTAAGATGGTAGGGAGTTTGCTCCCACTACAAAAACAATGCTGCCACATACGTAGGGCTGCAGTTCTTATTAATTTTGGTACCTCCCCATCCCCCAACCCAACACAAAATGAACACACCTCCCATTTCCCTCCCTATCCAAACAGCAGAGTTTTTGAGTGTATGAAGTGGTCTGTGGATATGTATCAAAGCTTTTCAGCATGAATAACAGCATTTAGGATCAACTTACAATTTAAGCTATGTGGCCAAAATGGTTAACATTCACTGTTAATACCACCAACTTACTCATACCACGAATAATAATGAGCTACTAAATATACCAAACACTTAGGGACACAGATAATACCCAATGCTCTGCTTAGATATCATGACGATGGAGGTAGGACAGAGGATGGATTAAAACTAGGACAGTCATTTAAGAAAAAGCACAGGAAAATTAGCAGACCATTAGTTGGTAACCTCCCGCCTTACTTCCATCTACCCTAGTGTACACTGCTTGGGTGGACTGAGAGATAAAAGTTCCTTTTAATATCATTGCTTTTAAAGAAGTTAGATGTTGCCAAAATAGTTCAATGTCCACACTCCCCAGTATTTTTAAACTAATTGCCAACATTTGTTTTTGAGACCTGTTCAGGGAAATTGGTCTTTTAAAAAAAGATTTCTTGAAAAAAAAAAAAAAACCTGTCAAATTAATATTAACTCAAAGTAAATGGATAGCTCTTCTTACATCAGTTTCCACAGCTTCCCCTAAAACACATATTTATCTAAAACAGCATGTAAAGCATTTCTTGTACATATACTGTCCTAGGTTCCAAAGTTACAACTTTAAAGGCTATGAAGATGTTTATTGCATGAAAGCTGTTTTTAAAAGAAGCTCCAAAGCTTCTTACTACTATAGCTATCCACATGATCCTGATTTTTGGGCAGGGGGGGGATGATGGGGAGGAGGCTAAGAAAGCAGGAGAGCTGAATTTGAGGTGTGCACTAAATAGGACTGTTATCATGAGACTTTTTAGTGACTGTGTATTACTGGAAATCTTACAGATTGATTTTCAATAATTTTTCTATTTTTAAGGGTTGGCAATATGGCATGTGTCAGAGGTGAAATATGCAATAAACTACTAGATTTCACAAATAACTTAGTGTCTCGATAAGGTAAGCATACAGAGGGATCCCTCTGCCAACTGGAAATGAACACATGCCCAGTGAACTACAGGAAATATCCAATAGATTTATGATATATTATTCCAAGCCAAAGCTCACTTAGTTTAAATAGCATACCAATTTTTCATCTTTTAGGCTGAACATATTCTAATCGTTTTAAGCTCATGCTGTTTTACCACCAACAAATGAAAAATCTCCCAAACAGAGGCATACAGAAGCAAGGCCAAAGAGGACTTTAGTCTATTACAGTAAGGTAAGACCTTCAAAAATACAAGTAGCTGCAGTGTCTTTGCAAAGCAGATTAATTTTGTCTGTGCTGTTTCCCCCCCCAGCAGAATGCATAAAGCTCAGAGAACTAAGAAAGGTTAGTCCAAAATAATCATCTAACCAAAAGATCAATCTATTCAAAGTATCACTGTCATTAGGATTACTACACTTCTGAATGTAGCAATAGGCTATAGCAGAATTAACGTGTCAAACTCATTATTTGTGCTCGGGGTTTGGAGCAAACCTCATAGTGGCAGCGTTCTAAATCAAAACCTACAGAAATCCCTAGAAAAGGGATAGGAGCAACAAAAGCCTCTTCCTCATCAGATTGTTTCGTGGAAGTATAGAATTCCCAAAGATTTAAAGAAAAAAATCCATTTCCTCTATGCAAATACACATGTGTACAAACATGGATGTGCATAAATAACTATGAACCAGTAGAAGCCTAAGTAAGAGAAAATCCACTCATATATAAGCTGTCTGTTCTCAGTGTATTTTTAAAACCAGTTTGTTGTGAACTTTATTTAGTACTTCTCTTTCCAACATTTCTCATCTACTCATCCTAGATGCAATAAAGTCTTACATTAAGTGTTTTCATTTTTTCAATGCTATACTGTAACAGAAACATTAGTTTCTTACTGGTAAGCTCGATGGTCTTTCTTGCTGGATCAGATTCAAGTCTTCGTGGTTAGGCTTTCCTGGGGCCATAGGGGGTTGAGATCTGGTTCCATAGCCTTCCTGAGACATGTCCTGCAAAAACAGTTGCAACAGAGATGTTAACCTGACTCAGTAGCTACAACTAAAACCACTTCACAGCAAGGTGAACATATAACAGCTGAGTGCCAATCTTTTTTTCAAATCAGAAGTTTTTACTAATTAAATCTTCTGGATGGAAGTATCAGGCCCACACAGGTACCAGTATGATTCACGCTGTTTGTAAAGAGATCCAAACAGCACAGTGACCCGGCTACGAGCAGAGAAACATGCCATTGTAACACAGATGAACAGACTAAATGAACGACCTCCTTTTATAATAAAAGAGTAGCAAGCACAAAGCAGTCAAAACGTTTATCAAATGCTTAAATAATATTATCAAGCCTTTCGTTGAAATATTGAGCCAGGTGGAAGAATCCACCAGACTGGACTTGAAAATAAGACTGTAATCATGCTACGTAGTCAGCCTCCAGTAACCACCCTGAATTCACCATCACTACTCCTGACAACTTTCAAACGCAGGCTATCAGATCGGAGCAAAGAAAATACTCACTGCATCTGCTTGAAATATATTGTGTCCAACCGCTTATAAGAAAAGGGTATTTGATCAAAAGTACTTCCAAAGCCTGTACCAGCAGCCCAGGGATTTTCCTCCCTATACAAACCTAAGCAATCTTATTTAAATTTCCTGACACAAGACCCACCGGCGCAGGGGTGAAGGGAACACCAAAACAGCCCGCCCTCCCAACTCATCCTAAAACACAAACTTACTTTACATTTATAGGTGCTTGCTCATTGCAAAGCCCTAGGGTCAGGCTTCGTTTTAGCTACTATACTTCACGTTAGGAGCTTCTACCCTAACGTCTTCAAGGAAAACAGGAGAGCCATACCTACTTCAGCATGCACAACTGGCAAGGAAAGTTGAAGAACCAGTTTCTGACTGTTAGAAAAGATATCACACCTTAAAGGTTCTTCTTTGTTGCTTTTAAATTGTTTAATTCTCTTCTCTCCCCCTCCCCACCCAAGTTTGCCAAAGCAACTACAAGCGTAATTTGCCTCAGCCATCCTCCTGCTTTCAGTTTTGATGCGTAACTGAAAGCAAGCGTGCAGTTTTGGCGTGGAGGGATACAGGAAGCTCCCCCCTGCCCCACCCCCTTTCAGACTCTGAAAATTATATTGCTGCTGCTTAGCAAAGACTGCTCTTATAGTCAAGTATCCATATCAACAGAAGTTATTGCCCATATACCGACTCCACAAACCAGCTGGTTTGCAGCGCAGTAAAGCTTTCCGTCTCTGCTGTAGCACGGCACTTGACAGAGAAATTTGTTAACAACCACACTGTTTCCATCCAGCCACGTCCATCGCTTTGGGACTCTCCTGAATTATTTTTAATGGAGAGAGAAAAATTCAGCGAGGCTGATAAAACCAAACCCGGCCAAACTGGTACGATGCAAACGCACCGCTAAACGGGCCTATCGGGAAGCCTGTGCCGAGCTAAACGAAGAAACACTTAAAAGGCCAACACTTCAATGTGGTTACCAGCAGAGGGTAACAATTAGGCTTAAGGGTGACAAAAGCTGATGGCTGAATGATTATTATCCCCTGTGACCCCCCTTCCTCCCTCCCGGCCAGATTTCCACTTGTCACACAGCTCTCCTGCTGCGCACACCAGCAGGTTCCTGTGGATTAACAGGGAGGTTTAAAATCAACAAATGGCACAAGGCCGCCATTCAGCAGCCTTCACCCTATTACAAAGGAGTAGAAAGGTGCAGGACAGCTTCACAATAGGCAAACAAATGAGCAAACCTCTGCTTTCTTTTTATTTAAAAGCACACACGCACGCTCGTGCACATGCACACTATTTGTTGTCACTGCACAGACATCTCTCATAAACCAGCGACTGCAGATCTGAACTTCTAGTTCAGCATTCTGTTCGCTGGTCTGTCTAATTTTTTTAAAAAAATAGACTAAACAAGAACCACTTGTTAAAACAAAACAAAACAGCAATACCAAAAGCAGTGGAGAAGGATAAATGGAATACTCAATTTAGGAGACATCATTTTAGGAACACAATTATTCCTTTTTCCAAACAGACGCTACAGGATTAGGACAATTTTCCCAGGAAGCAAAACATGTTTTATATTTTGAAAACTCAAGAGCCATTAATCCTTTACAAAGCACCAAGCATGGTTGTTCCCACACGTTTGCAAGATTTTATTTGAAAGCTCTTTCCCTACTGAAGTTTCAGGAGGGAGGGAGGGACAGAAACAGCACACTTTTTCAGGAGAAACGCTGAATGTTGAATAGAGTTTAGTTTTAGCTGGGCATATGAAGGCTACCCATGAAATGTCTTTCCACACACTGAAGAGCACATGTAAAAACCTGGAGATGACATCCTTCGTCATTTTAAACGCACGATTTACACAGAGTCTTCCTTTCTGACTGTGGGAAAATCAAATTTCTTTGCTCAGTTCTTCATTAGGTTTGGAAACAAGTCCTGCAGGCATCTGTGTCAGTTAGGAGGTGGATACCTGTGCGCGCCAAACGGGACTGAGCCCACATACTCTTTCTCATATGTGCTGTAATGCCATCAGATACTATGATCACCGGAAACTTGGAAAGTGGCTTGAGAACTGAAAGGATCATTTTGCTCTCCGTAACTTTCAGGCATGTGAATCTCCCGGATGAAATATGCATGGGGTGTATGTGTAATTTAATGCATTTGGACATATGTACTGTCCAATGAAAATAGTCCACTTATTATTTAATCATTATTTATTATATAGCCTATTGGACCAAAGGGTTGACTTCATAAGCAAAAATGGTGTTTAATATCATCTTGCACTGAAAAACAGAAGAGATGATATATCTACTGCCTTTCTAGATCAGAGAGTTCTATCTGTGTTAGAATTAAAAAAACCCGCATATTAAAGAATAGATACAACAGATTTTGAAAGATAAGTAAGATGTATGGAAAGACATATAGTAAAATGTATGTCACTGAAAAAAATACATGCAACTGGCAATTCTCATTTTCGATTTTGAAAGTTCATTATTCTTTCTAGCATCCAGGAATGCATTTATCAGGGAATGAAGAGAGGGAAGATAGCACACGTTGTGCTACAGTCACGGCTGAGAAGTCTCCCATTGATACTGGGGCTGAAACTTCTCCTAGGATCCCAATTTTTTTTTCTTTGACTTCCATTATTTTATCCATCTATGATCAGCTTTCAAAGGAAAGCTTATTATTATTATTTTTTTTAAATGAATTACCGTAAAACTTTCCTCCCAAACAAGAGTATGGGTGCATGAAAGAGAGAAATCCAGGGTTTTATAAACAGAAGGCTACAAGCTTCCACTCAGAACTTCCTAACTTGGCACAAATCCAATCACATCATAGCTGTTATAGGACAAACTGTCAACGAAGTTGTAAAATAACTAAAAGCAGGGTTTTCCCATCAGATTTTAGAAAAGGCATTGGGACAAATTATCAGCAAGTCATAAACATGCACTGCAAAACAGCTGAAGTTTGGATTGTTTTCAAAAAAATTATACTCTAAAACAGGTAGACAAAAATAAATGGAATATGCCTACACATAAGCAGCCTAAAACCTGTATATTTGGATTTGCTGTTCAGAAGGCAATCAATATGCAATTACTATATTTAGGTAAGAATGAAAACCAATTGCTTATCAATTTGGTTATTATTTACATCCTGTTCATGTACATTTTTAGCTTGCTCTGCAAATTGTGGTATACTTTGCTTAAACCTTGTTTAGGCTGCAAAGTATGGGAGGAAAGAGAAGGATACATTCTTCTCTCTTATTTGCTATTATTGTATTCATTTTACCAATTTATAAAAAGTCTTCAATGCTATCATTGCTCGACTGAAAGGTCTTTATTCCATAACACAGCAGTGTGGGATTGCACTAAGACAAAGGTTTTGAGACACAAATTGAGCCAGTATAACGGCCTGCAAGAAAGTCGAAGGTTCCCCCCTCCTGCAATTCTTGCGGTTAGACATTTCCTCCCTCATTTTGTGTTGCCTCTTTCAGTTATTAGATTCCTCTGCGAAATGGTACAACTTAAAATTTGCCAGAAAATGAATCTTCCCCCTTAGCTTTCTTGTGGACTATTGAACAGTATTGGATATTGGAAGGGTTTGGTGAGCAGAAGGCAAAAAACCTCCCACCTTCCAAGGAAGCCAGCCAACAGATGGGCTCAGCCCTCCACCGAACAGCGGTCCAAGTAGCCAGCGCTGCAACTGCTCTGGAGCGAGGACAGCTAGAGAACCTTTTATCCTTTGATATGCAAAGTTAATTACTGTCATGCTTTCATAGTTTAACTAGACCTAGCTTAAAATAAGTAGGTCTGTCCACATCTACCAGCTCTCTGCAAAATTGAATGAATATAGTACTGATCATGCTCAAAACAATGTAGTTGAAATGCACACTTGTTAAAAGCTCTGCTGAAGAAGATAAGATCTAATTAAGCAATAGTTTAAATTATTTTTAATAGAAAATGAAAGTATGGTGAAATCAATGTTTGGGGGTAACCACATTTAAAGGAGGGCTGGGTGAGAAATATCATTAAGGCTTCATCCACTTCTACTGCAGCATATTTCACAGGGATAGCATGACCACCCAGGAAGATAAGCACCATGATGGCTACAAAGAAGAAAAATCATTTATGGAAAATAATATACTACACTTGAATTTAAAAAAACTATTAAAAACTATTTTAGTATCCCTGATTCAGTTGGTTGATCCTTAGAAGACATCAAGCTTGAGAGCAGCAAATTCTACAGCAATGTGACAACAGTAAAATTGAAAACAGACTTTCATTTCCCTCCCAGACCACTTCAGAACGGAGGTCAAGACTCAGTAAAAAAGCCAAAAGGGGCATACAACTCTACAAGCAAGTTTATTTCACTCATCTCTGAATGGATACTATAAACGGAAAGAAAGCAAGTAATATGCTAGTAGCTATACAAAGATCTTCCTTGTTACCACTTACCAAAATATTTGTTAATTCTG